TTTTGCGCCTTCCATCAATTTGGCAGAGCGGGGTGGGTGTGGATGTGAGTATGGGTATGGATATGGGCGTGAGTGTGGGATGTGGGATGAGGGACATTGAGTGTGGAGTGTGGATGTAGCTTAGGAGAAGATCCACAGCAACAGCCACACTTCACTCATATCCACACCCGCAACTGCACCCACACCCTGAAAAATAGATATTTATATCACACGATTCGTATAACCTTTTGAGTTAAAACGTTAGAAGCCTGTAATAGATAGCTCGAAGGATATATGTTAAAAATTTCAAGTCTCTAACCCTCAGTATAAAGGAGAGAAAATTGAAGAAAAAATGAAAAATTGATTTTTCTTGATATACAAGACATCTCAAATTGCGATCTAGGAAGGTCATGAAAACGAACCCTTTTAGGGTTTTCTTAGTCTCATAGAGACCTACTCGTAGTCAAAATATGGGGTCAAACGGCATCCGACAGTTGGGAATGTTTTCTCGTTAGTTTGGGCTGATTTCAATCAGCTGTCTTCTCCTCGATTGAGCAGAAACTCTCGTACGAAATTTTCTTCGTTTTACTATACATGGAATTGTTACACTTACATGTAAGTGCTTAAGTAGATGAGAAACACCTGTAAAAATTAATACACAATTGAAGATCCACATAAAGAATATTTTGAATTCTCAGAATTGTTGTCATTTATTTTTGTCACTCTCTACTTCTGAGACGAAGTGTATGGTAGTTCACCTGTTGGGAATATTGTTTACGTGGGTAAATGAATGGTTGTGTCGTCTCTTCATCTACATTCATCCAGCCATTTACTTACACCTACCAACAACGAATCCTACTTTTTAATCTGGAAGCTTTTCCTTCAAGTCTAAGATTTTAATTAGATGAAAGCCCAATGATAGTGCTTCCGAGTCATTGCTCACGTCTAGAGAAAGTTTCAGTGCAATCAGTTTATAGGAAACCGATGTTGATTTCTGAGATAAGGAAGGGGAGTATTCTTAAAAATAATGTTTTTTTTTCTGTGTATTTCTATACCTAGAAGTTCTTCTCTCGTGTTGTTACTAAACCGTCTCTGAAGTAAACGGTTCTTATTGTTCCTAGCATAACCGTATTTTCTCGGTTATGGGCGAACCAGAAGGTCATAACGACTGGAATCCTCGTTTGATTGAAAACACTTGCGATGAACCTGAAGCTAGTCTACAGCCACTCGAAGACTATCAAGAGTCAGAGCTCGTTTCCCTCGAGAAAGCTATTGAACCAATAAAATCACTCTTTCGTAATTTGCCTCGTGACGTTTGGATCGCTAAGAATGCATCGAAGAAGCCAGCTGGTGATCTTTCTTCCGATGAATCAGCCGCTATTCATCTTTATACCATGGAGGTGAAGTCTCGAAGTCTATATTCAATTCTAAATGAGATGCTGCGCGACAGAGATCGTCGAAAGCTTAAACCATGGTTTCCTTATTTCAAACTATTTATTACCGCTCTCTTTAAAATACAACCATGCTCAGCTAAAGTGATTTATCGTGGTGTCAAGGCTGATCTTCATTCAAAATATCATCGTGGTGAACGTTACATATGGTGGGCATTCTCTTCGTGTACTCTGTCGCTCGAAGTACTGGAACAAGCCATGTATTTGGGTGAGACAGGTCCACGAACGCTCTTCAACATTGAGTGTATGAACGGGAAACCTATTAAATCGCATTCATATTACAAGACAGAAGATGAAATTTTGCTTCTACCTGGATTCTATTTTGAAGTTGTGGGCAAAGTCAAAGCTGGTAATGGCTTGCACATTATACATCTGCGCGAACTCTCTCCGCCATATGTTCTTCTTGAGCCGCCATTTTCGAATGCTTCATCTATTGTAAGTTGCTTATTTCCTTCTCAACATATAACATTTACATATATGCATAGGTTTCAAATCAAGCAAATGCAAAGCAAGGTAAAATCCATATTATGATAATAAAACCTGTATGGTTTTGTTAGGAATAGCAGAATTAGGTATTTCCGGTCATTTGTGGACCAACAAAAACCCATGAAAACGATCATAATTTACTTTTACTTTTGAAATGTACAGAAAAACTCGTCTGAACGCTGGTGAATTTTGCGTTTAAAGTGCACCAGTGGGCTCTGTTTTAACGAGAACCACATTATCCCTTCATAGGCACTTCAATTTGCACGGTCAAAAAGCACATTGACAGTTTTTCCTTACATGTTTGCAAAACATGCCATCAGATGATAACCATCTCAACGAAACTCCTATGACACCGAAGAATAGGATCAAGGAAATTTAGACAAAACGAGTAGTTCTAAGCAAATTTTGATTGAAGTCGATGTATTGGTGTATACCCACGCTAATAAAGACCTCCAAAAGCATGTTTTTTATGAACAATAAGATCAAACTACCGAGATTGTAGACGATGACAGTTTTGACCAAATTTTCAACCCGAAAATAAGCAACTTTCATATGTTTTCTATCCTTCACCATGTTTTTCAACGAAAATCTAATATAAAATATCAGAATCAGGTGAAAATTACCCATGAAACCCATTATTTTGATCGAAAACTCCATCAGAATCAATCTGACCAAAGAACTAAGTAGTTTGTTCCCCTCTTTCGTTAAATTTATACTTTTCGAGATCTATCTAATACTTGAACAGCTGATCGAAAATTCTTCAAATGCTAACTGGGTGTGGGCGACTTTTTTAATTCGACTTGATTAAGTTAAATTTTTTTTCCTACTTAACACTTTATTTAAAATTAAGTTTAAGTCAGTGCGTTCGGCAACCATCATTTAATTTCAAATTTTTCTTTACTCCAATGTGGATTCATCATGATGCTGTTCAGGTCGTATTAAAGAAAGTTTCTACTAACCTCTGATTGGTTTGAGGTGTGGTTATGGTATCAGCCTGGATGTGGTGTGCTCTCTAAACTCACACCCCACACCTACACCCACATTCACACTCTTGCGTCATTGTAATTCTCTACGTATATGTGACTCATCGCGACGTATGCTCAATCAATGTTGATGACTTTCCCTTTGAGAGAATCAGGCGGCAGGATTCAGCTTTGCTGCGATATTAAGCAATACTAATTGGAGGAAAAATGTTTCTCTTTGGAATGTGAGAGCGTCCTTGGAATAGACGGCACTGCTTAGTTTTAAACCTCAATTGACTTGTCAAATATTCTTTCGATACTAGTATCGACTGAGTGCGAGGTTGTCATTCGTTTTTCGACCGATATTAGGTTGCGTATGGTATAGTCATCAAAAAGAAGCACTGATCTCGATACTGTTAATAGGAACCCGTACAAATGCTGACACCACTATCTTCTCTTTGTTCAGGTACATCGAAGTCGCATCATACCACATCAAGTGTTTCTACTGTATTGGAGCCCGTAGCGGTAGCATCTATTTCATCATCAAAAAGTCAACCTTTTCCAAAATCAGGAATGTTGTTTTGCATATGACACAAATCCTAAATAAAAAATGGCTTCATTGGTCCTATCGCTTGCTTTATATTCTATCATTGGCTATTTCTATCTATCTCATACCAATCGACGCCGCAACGAATCAGTCCTCTCCAGTAAACAAAAAATATCGATCGACATGTCTATCCCTTTCGGAACGATAATGAAATCATTTTGAACGACGTGTCGTCTCTCAGTTTTTCTGTGACTCGATGTAGCGTCAAATATTCATTCAATCCACCATTATTTGATACTGTCTCTTGAATAGGATAGCGAGACATTTTTGGCAGCGAAGAGGATTATTTTCACATACGTCATAAAGCAGTGAGACTCTGAGGGATCTGACAAGGGAACGTTCCAGGGTGAAGCTCAGCTTTAGAGTTGATACTTTACCCATATGTGAGTCGCATTGAGACTAGAAAAATTCCAAAAGGATTCGGGTTTCTAGCTTTTTTTTCACGAGTTATGGCAATTTTACTGCATTTTTTGCCATTAACTGGCTGTTTCGGGGACAATGAAATAACGTGATTTAACGCTGAAATTTTGTCTATGGATAGCTTTAGTGATCAATAACAGGGTGTGGATGTAGGTGTAGATATTCTCTTCAAAAGAACTCACACCTGACACACACCCACACTTTCACACCCCACACCCACACCCTCCAACGAGAGACGAGATCCCTTCGACAACGACGATTCCTTTTCTTTTTCGTTCGTTGTAGTAATTCCAAATATTCCAGTCGATGCCCGATGGGAACAGAATGGGGTAACTGTTGCTGGAGACCATGGATATGGCAATGCCACCAATCAACTCTACAGGCCTAACGGTATCTTCGTTGATGATGATCAAACGATGGTCATTGCTGATGGCGACAATCATCGTATCATCCAATGGGAGATGGGTGATACGAATGGACAAGTAGTAGCTGGTGGCAATGACAAAGGAAATCGAATGGATCAATTGAATTATCCAACTGATGTGTTGATTGACAAAGAGACGGATAGTCTCATTATTTGTGACCGACACAATCGACGAGTCGTACGATGGTCTCGTCATGGCGGCACAATTCAAGGAGAAATCCTCATTGACAACATCCGTTGTTATGGATTGGCCATGGATGATCAGAGATGTCTCTACATCTCTGACACCGACAAACATGAAGTAAGACGATATCAAATAGGAGACAAGAATGGAATTCTCGTGGCTGGTGGCAATGGCCAAGGTGCTGGTCTCAATCAACTCAACTATCCGTACTACATCTTTATCGATCAACAACAGACTGTCTACGTGTCAGACTACGGCAATCATCGTGTGATGAAATGGAATAAAGGTGCAAAAGAAGGAATTGTCGTCGCTGGAGGTCAAGGCCAAGGGAATGTTCTGACACAATTGTCGTGTCCTAAAGGACTATTTGTCGATACATTGGGTACCATCTATGTGGCAGACTCATTCAATCATCGAGTGATGCGTTGGCCTGAAGGAGCGAAACAAGGCACTGTCATTGTGGGTGGAAATGGTGAAGGAAAAGGAGCAAATCAGTTCAACTATTCCTTCGGTTTGTCATTCGATCGACATGGTAATCTCTATGTCGCTGATGCAAATAATAACCGTGTTCAACGCTTTTCAATCGAATAAACTCAATACAATGGATTGGTTTTTTTCTTTCCTTTCTCCCAAATAAATCGCATTGAATTGATGAAATGAATGGCTTATTCTATTCGCGCGCACGCGACCAGGAACCATCCTGGTGGAGCCGTGACGAGCGTAACGCTCATGCACACACAAGACAGTCTCATGTCATTCATATCCCTCCCACTCGAGAGATATGTCAGAGTTCTGGAGACCCGATCGTGTGCCATGGACACCATTTTCGTTGAGTTTGCATTATCTGAAATTAAAAAATATATATATTTAAGAAAAAAATTTACTTACTTGCAATATTTAATAGCTAAAATAAAAAAAAACAAAATTAGCGAGAGACTTACCACTCTCTATATGATTTTTAAAAAAAGAAGAAAAAAAATTAAAAAACCGATACCTACATTTTTTAAATTATATTGCTTGATATTGAATTGTTTAATTTTGTATCATCGAAGCCAATCTAAAATACAAAAAGAAATTATTATTATTTGATTCAGTAAATTGAATGATTTCTTCGTTAGAAATCATTCATTTTTATACCCTTCAAAAATCGTTTTCTCTTAAGGGAGAAAATATTCATTATTTTTTTTCTCGTCGGAAAATAATTAGAAGTCGATTTCAATTAAGCTATAATCAGGACACATTCATACATTGAGATAAATTCAATCACAAATATCTCAATGTATGGACGTGGATATAGTTTAATTGATATATACATTAATTATGAAATATTATCATTAATCATCAATGATAACATGAACGTTGACTTATGGGCGAGAAAAGGAAAAACGACAATTCCTCTCTTCATCTACTTCTTTTTGATTTTCTCTGTCTCCCATGTTCTGCTGTCTTGTCTTATCAGAGCACGAGAAAGAAAGAATGAAAGAAAAAAAAATAATGAGATGGTTCACATGGTTAGTCGTGAGTATAAACGAGACGAACATACACGCACACATACAATCATGGCATATTCAACAAAGAATGACAAATATGAAAGTTTATTCATTTTTATAATGATTGCCAAGACAAATAATTCTGATGGACCCAAACAAAAATTTTAACGTAAGTCAACATTTTGAATATAAAAACTATTTGTCTTCATTTTAGATTTATAATGATATTAAAATATGTTTTTTCAAAAATGCACATCTCAATTCAATAGTAAACGATCTCATGATTTTATGCTATTATTTGCTTTAATGACTCATTGATCTTCATTTGAAAGTGTTTTATATTTAAAAATAATAAATATAAATCAAAAAAACATCATCATCATCGTTATGATATTGAAGACACTTATTATTCAACTGTTCATCCCAAATAATAATTATTATCAGAATGAGGTAAATATTTAAATTAAATATAAAAATTTTAGATGAACGAACACATGGAACTATTCTTTTTTTTTGTTTCAAGTCTCTAACGACTGAATTCGCTCGTATATATTATTATTGGTAATATAGATCAGAAAGTGATGTCATTTTTGATTTTTCTAATTTTAATGAACATATTCAAGTAATTGCTCAATTTATCACGAAAAGTTTTTTTTTTTAAATATCCCATTGAACGAATAGACAATAGTAATTTATTAATTCTTCGTCGTATACTTTATCCGTCGTCCGTAGTATGAAGGAATAAATAGATTTTATTCGTACGGAAAAAAGTATTATTTATTTTTTTCAGTGGCAGATGTATGGAATATTGTCGAAATGCATGAGTTCATTTTGGTTTATAAGAATTAAAACTATCAAGTATTGCATGAATACTTTCATCTATGATTAAAACTCATTCAGACCTTACTAAAGATACATTGATTTATGTAAATGAAAAAAGAAAAGATATTTGTTTTTAGATCATTACAGAACTGAATAGAGCTAGCAAATAATAATAAAAATTCATCACAAACATGGACTGTTGATATATTTGTAATAACAACAAATGACTTGGTATAACATTTAACAAAAAAAAATTATCTTTTTAGATACCAACTGCAAATTGGAAAGATGTTATAAAAGAATTTGATCTTCCTGATAACTTATTGTACGTGATCGATAAGCTCTTATATTACTTGTAACAGCACTTCATCGACCATTGTCAACTGAACAATATATTGATTCACTTTATGAACATTGGTATAATGTTGAAGGACAAGTTTTTTCAATGAATATTTTATTTTTATTAATTAGGCATGCATTAAATTTACTTGAAATATTTCAATATAGTATTCAATGTTCTGGTGAATTGATTTTTCTTAATTTATTATAACTTCATGTAAGATTCAGAACTATAGGTCTTCTGTAGAAAGTGATGATAGTTTTGTTGTATGATAGAATGAAGTGATGGCAGAAAAACTGAACAAAGAATTTTTAATCAAAATGCTTGATTCTTTCTTTAGTTATTCAGAAGTCATCAGAAAAAATTATTTTAACTAATTTTTGCCAATACTCCAGTCTATGGACAGAAAACTGTTAGTAGAGCTCCTGCAAGATTAAAATGTGAATTTATACAAGATACTAATCGCAATACATTGCAGTGAGTGTGAAGGAAAACTAATAGGCAACTATCATGCTAATGCACTTTAAGATTTGGTTTAGATTATGCCTCACAATCTAAAACCATCAAAATTATCGTCACTCGGTAGAGAAGATCTATGCACTGGAATCATTTTATGATTGTCTATGAGTATAGTTTTCTATGATCATATAAATGTTATAGTTTGAATTGGAATAGGTATTAGGAACTAACAATTTATCCTGATCTACAAAAAAATGCTTTTCAAGTTGTTTCATTAACTTCGATGTTAAATGATTAGTTGATACAATATATTTTGTACAAAAATGTTTTCTCTTTCTGTCTGTATAGTTTCAAATGTATTGCATGTCTTCATTTTGTATAAAAATATATATATCTAAATGATAATTGAACATTAACAAGGATTCATCTTCATGAATTTTTGGAGGCCAGTTATGATCGTTTTACTGAATTTTCGACGTACAAGTTTTATCTAACGATAGATCTATTGATTCAAAGAATATCCTGAAAATTTCAGTCGAAAATAAATGTTACTTTATCGATATTTTCAATAAAAGAAAATGACGGGTATCAATTCTAGTGTTTCCTCCCATTAAACCTATTTCTAATAACACCAATAGATCTCTCCTGATTGCGTATGTAAACGATACGTTTGATGATGTGTGGAAGGCAAAGAAAGCATAATTCTACGTAGATTAGTACTTTTCTACCAAAAATCGTCACACTATTATTCCTGTGAATTTTCTCTGTTGAACGCATTTAGAAATATTTTTTTTCTACTTGTTTAGACTGTGCTTAATGCAAATTCACTTCTTAATTACATGTGGAATTCACAAGTAAGATATAAAAAAAATAATAAAACTAAAAATTCTCTTAATCCTGTTCTAAAAGCATCATACAATAGCATTAAACAATTGGTACAATCGTTCAAATGATAATGAAAAACAACAACGTCTTAGTCATATTCTTGAAATTGTACCAGATTTAAGAGTTGTACCTGTATCATTTGTAGCAAACCTAATAACATTTATTCTTGATTTAGCTTATTTAGCATCAATACGTGGCTATTTAAAATTAGATAAATGCTTATCAGATAAATTACGTGAATATCAAGTAAGAAGAGAGAAAAAGAACCGAACATTATTTTTAAAAATCTTTTATTCTAATATTCCATTTCAAAGGAAATACCAAATCGAGATCTGAATACAAGCAATTCAAACAATAATATCAACAGCAAACATATCCCTTTATAAGATCATCAACCAATGGACTTTCAATATCAGCTGAACTTCGTTTTTTACAAAGTAAGTCATAAATCTACTTCTTTTTTTCCAATTGTTGCATACACATTTGCGATCGACGGATTGGCTGCTTTCGAGAAAATATATTACGAGATTATATTTGGAGTAGCCAATAGATTTGTCGTAATGTAGAAAGAATGCTACTGCATGGGACGAAGATGAAAGCGGTAGTTTTTTTCCTTACTAGTACCGATCTAAACAATCAGATCGGTATGAATCATATATTCCTTTCAATCACTAGAATATCAAATCTATATTAGGCTATGTATATTCATTAATTGTTCGTCAAACACGGACACAGATTAACTCTTGATTCCTCGTTGGTCATCGAAGTGATTATTTGTAAATAGAACGATTGCAAGAAATAAACGAAACATATCTTGTAGTGCACATCATAAACAATCAATTGATAAGAAAATATTTTATTTTGTATTGTTCCAACTTCGAAAAAGATGAATTAGAAAACCAATAAGCTCAAAAAAGAATAGCATTCGAAAGTTTCACAAAAGCTAAGATGTTCTTGAGCTCTCTACAACATTGTTTTTGCCGAATTACATCCGTGCTATCAATGTATCGGAGACACTAATGTTCTATTATAATTCCTTAGTCTGCTGCTCATGTTCTTTTCGGTTTATTATCTCTTACATTCTGTACGAATTATATACGATGAATAATAGGAAATAGAAATAAATCTATGATAAATTACAATATTAAGCAATTCGTTAATTTTGTTTTGATTACATAAGATGATACAAAAGTCGTCGATGTGTCGAACAACATAACCACTCACGAGAAAAATTCTCCAACTAATGATTCAGTTTGGAGTCTGAACTATATATCGAGTCCTTAGCTTATTGTTACTGAGATACTGTATTTTGACGGCTCTTTTTTCTAAGCCCATACTGTGATTCCTCTCAGGAACACTAGTAAAATTCGTTTTCGAATTTCGACTTAAAATTTTCCACAGAAACAGATCTTAACAAGAATAGTTTATTCTACTATTTTCGTGTCTCTTGATTTGCTTCTTTTCTGAAATAATAACATCACATCTGCCAGTATATATGGATCATGTGAAAGGCAAGCTTTTATCATAGCTATATCTTCGTGTAGGAACATCTGAAACTTTCAAAAATAAACTATTTTTCAATGAGTACAGTCTCTATGAAAAGTTTCAAGTCAAAATTCGAAAATGTGTTTCTCTAGTGTCTTTGAGAGCACATTAACAAAAGACAAATACCGTAAAAGTGCACTATCTCGACAACAATAAGCTAAGAGTCCAAAAGTTCTTTTTTAGTTTATTGATAGCTTATTAAGGTCTATATGAAGTACATAGTAGTGTTGAATCAAAAGCGATTAATCGATCGGAACTTCTTTTGATGCCTTTTCACAAATTCTACCTGTATCAGAAAAGTCACTTCTTAACATTATTGGCAGTCGAAAGTTGAGAAGAAGAATGAGAAAAGAAAAAATAGAGATTCATCAAAACATCTACTATTATAAACAATCAGTAAGAACACATTAAGTAGAAAATAAAAATGCAGCGAAGTGAGAGAATATAAAATTTTTTATTGTTATTGTCTTTGTTTATGATTCAAATAATAATGATTGATCAATAATGAATGAAATATCATCTCGATGAATTTTTTTGATATAATAACAATATCCAGAGAACGAGCCAGAGTCAATAAAATAGGTTGTTTTTGTTGTTTTTAAAGAAGTTTTTCAATATGGATTATGAAATTTATTTGAAGAATGTAAATTTTATCCTCAATATCCTGATAGAGAATTACTTTTAACAACATAATTATTCGGTGGATTTTTTAAACTTCGTTTATTACAAAAATCATTAGATTAAATAAAGTTATTTTCTAAGAAATATCACATATGAGCAGCATTACAAAAGTTCTTTTTTTTGCCAATCTTTTGACGAAATATTCAAAGGCTGTTTGTATTGTGATTTTCCAAAGTACCACTCCTCATTAACAGTGCACTAATGCATTCGATTATACTACTGTTGAATCTAATTTTGTATAGTTGATATTACAGTGTTAGTACCAGGAAAGGAGTCTCATGTGTTTAGGTCTGTGGAATATACTCAATCAGTGTACACGTCCATACGATTTAGGACGTCAAATTCATTGTGAGTTCAAAATGTTGATGATCTCATGTTTTCGGAGTGAAAGCTGGGACACCGAATATCATTCTTTGATTTTTCTTTTGAAGGATTTTGAAAACTTACACTAAGCAACTATTGATAGGTTAATTTCTATCTACTGGATCTCAACAGGATAGGCTTTGTTCGGCTACATTTTATAGAAAAAAAAATGGCGTGATGCACTAGTCTGAACATTTGTTTCGATGAACTTTGACTGTACGTGCTAGTGATAATGTCAAATACGAGATTGAAATTGGTCCATCCTAATCTCTTGAGAAAATGACAAGACAATTGAATACGGAACTACTTTCAATCATCAATAAGCTAATAATGTACTTATCAAGCATAAAACCTTTTGGAATTTTAAACAAATGAGAAAATTTGAAATAATTACTGGCGAAATTATACTCAGAATGTCTCTTCTATTAATTCATATGTTTAATGAGAAATATCTTCAATTATTACTTGAACATTATCAATTGTTTCTGCGTAAACAGCAGCTGAACGAACAACATGAATTTTTCTGATCAAATTTTTATGAAGGTTATTGCGAACTATCCGATCTAAAGGTTCTTGATCCCACTATTTTCGTACTAAACGGACATGGCTTTCCGTGGTCATTGAATTAATTTTCTGTTCATTTAAAATCATACTTCAAAATGCCTTTCGTAAGTCATGCAAAAAGTAATGTATGAATGATCTGAAAGAAATGTAAAAATAAGATGTTGTGCAAGGCGTAGAGATTTTAAATTTGCCACATAATCTTAAATATTTCTATGCATTATAGCCGAATACTTGACCGCAACATACAAATTTTGAGAGGGCTGGACGAAAAAACTTTTTGTCGTGCTTTATATAATAAAAGAAAGATCTTATGCCCTGAATCAATGAAAATTTTAATAAATTCCGAAATTTCCTGGAAAGTACTATATTTTGGAAGGATTTGTTTCAATTGCTTCAATGTTAAATATGGTAATTGTCGAACTTTTAAATTTATATCGTGTTCCTGTGAGAGTAATTTCTGGAATTTGATAATTTATGAGAAAAATTTACTTTTTTTTGAAAGTTTGAAGACTGCTGATGTAAATAAAATAAAAGGCGTGGCTACAAGTCATAATCACGCAGTTAGTGAGTTTACTGTTGTCTGAGTTATTTTTAGTTTTCTTCATCACAATATATAAATAGACGTATTAGAGATTTTAATCTCCGCACTAGAATAAGATTCACCTTATCCATCCAATAAAACTAAACTTGCTTGCGATCAAGTTTTAAATTTGTAATTGGGGTGAAGCTGAGCCTAATAGTGTCAAATTTGGATAAGACTCAAGCCTTGTTCAACCTATACGTTTCGCCGCCTATGATTGTCATATGATCAACATAAAAAGCATGAACTGATCGAGTTATGATTTTGAGAAATAATCAATATCACTGTTGATGAGTTTATCAAAATATAGAATAGTGTGTAAAACATGCTTATTTGCCAGTTAAATAAATAATAATGTTAAATTAAGAAAAACGAAAAAATGAAAATTACAATTGGAACGACTGTAAGAATATTGTAGTCCTTTTCGGAGTATGGTGTAGAAAATTCACCCAAAAAAAAGTAACGAGACTCAAGGATGAAAAAATATGGAAATCATAGTAACTTCAAAAGCAAAAACGGATAAAATTTAGTTTCTCATACATCACTCATAGTCTAATAGAAATTTTTCACTTCTGGTATTTTGTATTAGTATAATGAGGCTAAAGAATACATGCGACTTCCCCATTTTAGTCCTTAACGACCTGTGCTGACACAATCTTTATTTTTACTTAAATAAAATTTTTCCTATTAAAGAAATTGAATAATTCGAAATACCTTGTTCGATTAATGGTCAAAAATGCATCTTCATTAACATCGATTTCAATATTATCAAATAGTACTCATCATCATGAAAATAATAGAGTCGATATACCACCTTACCAGTTGACTACAGCGATTTTCGTAATGTACAATTTTTATTTTAGTTTTCACTTATTCAAACATCACTAAAAATTTCAGATATTGATTCAGGTTGACGTTCTACTAGTTGTCTAAATTTATTAGATTTAGTACTTAAACAGTTTGAAAATTTTCCTTTTTGTTAAGTTAATTAATATTGAATAAATATATCTATATATGGTTAAATTTTAGTGGTCTTCATAAAGCACAGAAACGATTAAATCGAGCTGGTTCATTCAGTTCATGATTCGAGTAAACGAATGAGCATATCATTAAGACAAGTAAGTGTTTCAAATGAAAGGAATCAGAAATGTGTATGCCCTGCCTAGCAAGTTCTGATTTACTAGTGAAATTCGTCGTTATATCTCATTAGTATCAGTAGTAGCCAGAAGAGAAGATACTATACCAGCGACTAGTGCTCCAGTAGAAAGATTATTTAAGTCAGCTGGATTGACATTTACTTAATGACGAATACGTTTATCAAATATATTATTTATTCTTTCTTGTTGTCTATCTATTGATATTGATTACATTTTGAATAATTAATATTTTAAATTTGTTTCATTCAGTTTATGAGACAACATGATGACCGAGTATTCTGATTGGCTGTTTCCTTTATTTTAATTGTAGTGATATATTAAATCGTGAGAGAACCGAACGAAATAAGAACTATTGTTTGATTCAATGAGCGTAGCTACGAGGAAAGTCAAAGTGACTTCTACTGAATTACTTTTAAAGTGATTCAAAACTTTATTGAGGCCTCAATGGAAATTTAATAGATGAACAATTCATAGAATTATATAATCATCTCTAAAC